AGGCGCGGAGACCAGTAATTTGTGGCGGCGGCTGCTGGACAAACGCCGCTGCGTGGTGCTCTTCGATGGGTTCTACGAGTGGAAGGCAGACGGATGCTGGAGAGGGGGGTTGCTCCGAGACTCAAAACAATATGGCGGTGCCTTTTGTTGAGGGTACCCACTTTGTATGAAAACTGCAACAAAGCGCGCAATGGTTGCATTTGGGCCATCAGGGACGTATTTGTTTTAGGTCAGAAGCTCCAGTAAGAGACATCGAGACCGCTGCGTGTGTCGGTTGATGGTTGTTTGTGCCTGGCCTCGCCGCTGCAGACAGCTGGCAAGACCAAGCAGCCCATGTTCATCCGCAACAAGGATGAGCCCAAGCCTGAGCACCGCGCGCCAATGGAGCAAGATGTTCTATAGGGTCCCTCCAGTGTGCCTTGCGAGCAAGCCTCATTGGGACTCACTACCACGTTCATGCGGGCACTGGGGGGTGGACCAACATGTTGGAGCATGCCCCTTATAGCCAGTGGCTTGGAACCAAATAGATGGATTCATGGCAGGTATGACGGGCACAGCATCCCCTGGCCTTCAAAAGTCGATGAGGCGCGCGGGAAGCTATCCGAACGTGCAAGTAAAAGGCAGCGCAAACAGGGTGACCAATGAAGTTGTTGTTCAACCCGCTTTGCAAGCGGGCGTGTCAAAACGGGTTGGACCCTTTGTTCCGATTCGATTTGTTTCATTTCTATTTATAAAGGCGTGTGGTTACTTCTCTCCTTTTTCGACCCGGCGTGTCCAGCCGTGCCTTATCCAGAATATTGGCCCCATCCACGAACAGTCACACCTGGTCAGGTGGCGTTTCTTTCGCTTTCCATATAAACAGCATTCAAAACAGAGTGCTCAGCTTCGAAGAAGTCCTGATGGCTTGTCAAGAAGAACGCGCAAGATGCAGCTCATGTTAATTTGCCGCCTCAGCGCCAGCATGAGCTGGCTGTGATCCAGTTGATCGGCCATAAGAAGTTGACTTATCCACTGGGGTAGGCAAACCTGCAGACCCTGCCACATTTTATTTAGGTGTTCATTCAGATTAGCGACGAAGGGTTGACACATCCCCGAAATGACTAAGAGTCACCCAGCAAAGTTGCGGTCTGATGCAGTGGCCTCAGATGAGGAATGCGCACTCTGACAGTGTGTCACCAGACTCAGCACACAGGAGAAAGAAGAGGGGCAGTCAAGCGCTCAGTCACTTCTTTACTGGAAGAGTCGGGCGTTGCAGGGCGCTGGCTCGGGAGCAACCATAGGAGCCTCTTTACTGGCAAGGCTTGCCCTGGATGAGGTTTTGTGTGTGTGGATGTGACTGTGTAAGAATACAGTATATGTACAACTATATGTACTCACCCCCCGTCCATGCAGTACCTTTGTAGTATATGTGTGTAGCCAAGCAGCTAAAACTCTATGTGGGGACTTATCAAGCTCTATTTGAATTGCAGTTCACTTTGAGTAAAAACATGTTTGGAAAGGAGTTCCTGCTTAAAATTCGAAATCAACATAGACATTCAAGTTCAAATGATTATGTATTTTTGGATTCTATCACACGTCTTAACAAATATCTATGTATTCAAATATGATTAAACAATGAGATCATGACATGCATACATGCGTACGTACGTACAAACGTACACCTACATACGGACATATGCTCATACGTACATACAATCACACACAGACGCACATACGCACATTCGCATATTCGCATCTACTCACACGTAAACACGTGTACACTTATAACACACACACACAAACACTTGCACACACATACAGACACAGACATACCATACCAATGTACACACACAGGCATTCAGTCAGACAGAGACACAGACAGGTAGACAGACAGACAGGCAGGCAGACAGACAGAGACAGAGACAGAGAAACGGACAGACAGACTGACAGACATACGCACGCACACACACGCTAATACGCACATCTGCACACATGCACATATGCGCATACACATACACACATGCCCGCGTACCCACATACACACATACCCGCATACCCACATACACACGTACTCACATATCAACATACCTGCAAAGCTACATACCTGGAAAGCTACCTCGCAACCTGCCTGCATGCATAGACATACGCAACATGCGCACCTACAGACAGACCAACATACACACTTGCACACGTACACACCTACACACACATACCCACATACTCAGATACTCAGATACGCAAACGCCCACACATCACACACGTACACAAAATATACACATACAAAACACAAAAGTCAAATATACACGTACACCCGCATACATACATGCATATGGCTATGCGTGCATACATGCATACATGCATGGTTGGTACGCATGCTTGTACATGAATAAATATGTATGCAACGTACGTACATGTACATCTTTAGTCGTGTGCGTTACAATTCGTACAGGCATATGAGGTTTGTTGTTTGAGGCGTGTCAACTGGAGGCTTGCCCTTTATTTATGTGGCTTGCACATGTCGCATAACGCTACCCAGTTTCTCGTGAATGTGTATGGGCAGGTTGGCAACACAGGAGTCAGGTTGCCAGAAAAGCAGGATTGGAGGGCAGAAACGTCATTCAATTGGTGTGGCGAGTCCACGTTCAGATCCCGAGTGGTCCGCCGCATGCTTGCAAACCCGCACCTGCAATTGTGAGCTGCGAAGTGATGCCAACTACAAAGCAACCGTGTCAACGAACACTCTGTAGATGAGATGTTCTTCAAAGGGCCAGATACTCTTCTGTCTCAAAGGAAGCTGCAGTCGGCGGATCGTTTACCGATTCTACCAACAAGTCGCAGCGTTGCTTTCTCTCTTCATCAATGTCTGCATGTGCTCCAGGCCCACAAGGGATGAAGCGCATTTGCATCGCCTCCTTTCATGTTGACCGAAGAACTTGAAAGAGTGTGACCACATGTGTCCAAAAGAAAGCACTTTGGCCAGCTTCGAAACCAACTTGCAGCCTCAAGTTTGGAACCCTTAAGACGTTGTCAAAGGGACTGACTCAGTGGGAGGTCTTTTTACAGCCATGTGGAGACGGGTCTTGCATCAATAATCACGTGCCCAGGTCGGAAGGCCCGCAGCACGCGCCATTGATGCTGGCAGGGCTTTACGATACCTGGCAGCCAGAGGCGGGACGAGCTCAAGACGAAGCCTAGGCCCTTGAACGTGAGCGATTTGGCTTTTGGTTGCAGACCTGGACTATTGTGGTTTTGTGGGCTAACACCTCGCCAACCCCCCCTCAAATGGCGAGGGTGAAGCCGAGCCGCTGGAATCCGCCCGGGTGCCTGGCTGTCAACCCTGAGGCACACAGCAAGCAAATGGCAACGTGTTGCTGTTGGGACAAGGGAGCCCAATGTTCATGTCACATCAGATGTAGCAATGTGTGTTATGGTGGTGACGCACGTCCAAAGAGCTGAAACTGCACTTTCAAAAGGAGTCTGCCACGCAAATTAAGAGAGGGATGAGCCTCCTCCCCAGAAAGGTTTCCGAGAACTCTGAGAATTGAACGCAAGAAGGTTCCAAGTTTGGCGTCCTTCACGGCTGGAGGTGACCATCCTCACCATGGATCCAGAGCACACTGTGATGGAGAAGGCTAGCGCCTTGGCGCCTCTTGAACTCAGATGCGATTGCATTGAATTGCAACTAGAAGTGGGGTTGTCTTGAAATAGGGATCCCAACAAAAGGATTTGTCTTCTCTGGTTTCCTTTTGTATCCCAAGAAGGGAACCCTCAAAAACACACATGGCAGTCAGACACCAGCTCAAAGTCAGGTTGACTGGAGGGAGAGGTTGCTTAAAGCCTGTGAAGCTGACTGACAGTCAGGGAAAGGCAGACTGTACTCAGGTGCATGATCGCATGCCCGTTTTCCTCACGCCGGAGTGCGCATCCCCGTGCCGGAGCGTGTTGCCGGTTGGAAGACCGCGTTTTCCATTGGAGGGCAGAATGCGAAAGGGCTTTGCGAAGTCTCTTAATTTCCTTTTTGTTTGGAAAACAAAACTCAATTTGAATTGCATTAAAATCCCTAGTATGTTGCAACTTTCAACAACGAAATCCAGACGCCAGCATCGTATGTATTGTTTGCTGCCAAGACGGCTTGAACCACTCTCAAGCGTGCGATCATCAGAGAGGTCCAAAGAGCTCGAAAGGAGCAGTGCAATTGAGGAGCCACCATGTTCAGTCACGTGGGGTGTGCCCGAGACACGACATTGTTGTACATCATCATGCAAACAAGCAACTTGACAGCACCCGGCATTGATCAGTTTGTATTGCATCTATGCATATGCGCAATTAGTCAAGCCAGCATGCAGACACAATCATACAGAAGCAAGCCAAGGGCCGTCCAACAACTGAGCAGAAGCTTCCGGGTCCGTGGCAGCAGTTAACTCGGGCCTGTGCAAGATGCAGCCCCATACCAGCCGCAGCTGCTGCCTGGCACCCGGTGCAAGGCTTGAGGAATTGGTGCAAGCTAGGGGCGGAGCGATCAGCTTTGAAGGCCGACGAGCAAATTCACTGGTCATTGGCGGTGTGTTGCTTTGATGGGGATTCGGACAGTCGTCACAGCCATTCCGGATAGGTTGCATCGTCTTTCACTTGGACATCCGAGTAGACGTATCACATCCTTTGGGTGGGCCTCACGGTCCCAAGCTGGGGACCACCAATTGGATGGTGTTGGAAGCAAAAGGGCGAAAGACCTATTTGAGGAAACATCTATGTTGAGCCGCGTGTTCTCCCGGATCCTCGGGTGAAGCTGGGCTCAAGTGCTGTGAAAAGCCCAGGTCAGGCTCCAAAAGAAAAGACATCCCAGAGGTTCCGTTCTCACGCTATGACACCAGTTAGCTTCCAGAGATCCTTCTAAACCAGAAGATCAGTGTTTTACTGGCTCCAGGAATTCAGACACAGATCACCAGCAATGTCTTTTCCCTTTTTTGCTTGTTTGCTAGCATGGTGTATTGGAGGGTTTCGTATTGGAAGCTCTACGTTGGGTTTAACAAGCTCCACCTTGGCGTGAGCCATGGATGTGCCTCCCTGCATGGTGCCCATCCTGTCATGCCTGCTTGCGGGCGTGATGGGCTTTGGCCTCCTACTGCAACGAAGCCCCAAACCGGCTTCTCAGGATGGTGGACTCCTCTTGGGTGGTGTACTTTAAGGGAAGGCACAAGGACGCCAACCATTTTGGGGGACTATTTTTTGAGGCCCAGGTACGTGACACGCTATGACATTGCATTTCATTCTAACACATGCACCACACTGTGCTACGCCGCATTGTATCCTGCATTCGCATTTGGCGACTTATTCAAAAGCAAGTTTGGGTCGGTATACGTGGGCAAGTCTTGCGTCGACACACAGGACTTGACCGCCAAAGAGCGCTGCGAGAATTGGTTCTTAGCCTATGGCGTGTTCTGGATCAGCTGCTTTGCTGCGCCTCGGGCAACAGAGGTGAGTGGATGATGTGAAATACAAGAGGAATTGGCCTCTCCATGAAATGAGCAAGCGGCTTTGAGTGGCGATTGGTGGATCGCCGCGTCTTTCCGAATTTGTGAGCATGATCCCCAAAGAAGCTTGTGGAAATTGAGACTCGGGCGCTAATGCCGCCCTCGAGTGCAAATTCTGAGCATGGAATTCCGAATTCCAATCCTTTTCTCCGGATCACGTTTGTTTGTTGAACCCAATGAACCGTTTGCGGTTGCATGTCATAGAAGTCGTTTGAACACCCCATTTGGAGCTCCCTCAAGGAAGCCACAATTTTAACGCCTCCGGCTCAGGCCGCCGACATTACAGGCCTGCTTTCTTATTTGCGTCCCTTTGGAATTGTCCCCTTGCCCCCTTCCCCTCTGAGATTTTTGCCCCCCTTTCTTTGTTGAGATCCATTCCCCCTTTCCGCCCTAAGGCCTTTTCTCCCTCTGTTTTTTTCCCTTTTCCTCCCTAAGATGTTTTCACCCCTCTCCCTGTTGAGATCCTTTCCCCCCTTTCCCCCCTAAGGCCTTTTCCCCCCTGAGATCTTCTCCCTTTTCCTCCCTTTCCCCCACTTTCCCCCCTACGGCCTTTTCCTCCCTGGGATCTTTTTCCTTTCCTCCCTGAGATCTTTCCCCCCCTTTCCCTGTTGAGATCATTTCCCCCCTTCCCTTTAAGGCCTTTCCAGATCTTTTCCCTTTTCCTTCCTAACATTGTTTCCCCCCTTTCCCTGTTGAGATCCTTCCCACCCTTTCCCCCCTCAGGCCTTTCCCCCCCCTGAGAGCTTCTCCCTTTTCCTTCCTTAGATCTCCCCCCTGTTGGCCTTTTTTCCCCCAGATCTTCTCCCTTTCCTCCCTAAGATCTTTTCCACCCCTTTCCCTGTTGAGATCATTTCTCCCCTTTCCCCCCTACGGCCTTTGCCCCCAGATCTTCTCCCTTTCCTCCCTAAGATCTTTCCCCCCCTTTCCCTGCTCAGATCCTTTCCCCCCTTTCCCCCCTAAGGCCTTTCCCCCCCTGAGATCTTCTCCCTTTTCCTCCCTAAGATCTTTTGCCACCTTTCCCTGTTGAGATCCATTCCCCCTTTCCCCCCTAAGGCCCTTTCTCCCTCTGAGTTTTTCCCTTTTCCTCCCTACGATGTTTTCCCCCCTCTCCCTGTTGAGATCCTTTCCCTCCTTTCCCCCCTAAGGCCTTTTTTCCCCCCGCGATCTTCCCCCTTTTCCTTCCTAAGATCTTTTCCCCCCTTTCCTTGTTGAGATCCTTTCCCGCCCTTTCCCCCCTAAGGCGTTTTCCCCCCCAAGATCTTCTCCCTTTTCCTTTCTAAGATCCTTTGCCCCCTTTCCCTGTTGAGGTCCTTTCCCCTCTTTCCCCCCTAAGGCCTTTCCACCCCTGAGATCTTCTCCCTTGTCCTCCCCAAGATCTTTTCCCTTGGTTGAGATCCTTTCCCCCTTTCCCCCCAAGATCTTCTCCCTTTTCCTCCCTAGGATCCTCTCCCACCTTTCCCTGTTGAGCTCCTTTCCCCCTTTTCCCCCTAAGGCCTTTTCAGATCTTCTCCCTTTTCCTCCCGAAGATCCTTTGCCCCCTTTCCCTGTTGAGATCCTTTCCCCCTTTCCCCCCTAAGGCCTTTTCCCTGCCTGGGATCTTCTCCCTTTCCTCACTGAGATCTTTCCCCCCCTTTCCCTGTTGAGATCCTTTCCCTCCTTTCCTTCCTAAGGCCTTTCCCCCCGCTGAGATCTTCTCCCTACTCCTCCTTAAGATCCTTTGCCTCCTTTCCCCGTTGAGATCCTTTCCCTTCTTCCCTTTAAGGCCTTTCCAGATCTTTTCCCTTTTCCTTCCTAAGATTGTTTCCCCCCTGTCCCTGTTGAGATCCTTCCCACCCTTTCCCGCCTAAGGCCTTTCCCCCCTGAGAGCTTCTCCCTTTTCCTTCCTTAGATCTTTCCCCCCTTTCCCTGTTGGCCTTTTTTTTCCAGATCTTCTCCCTTTCCTCCCTAAGATCTTTTCCATCATTTCTCCCCTTTCCCCTCAAAGGCCTTTGTCCCCAGATCTTCTCCCTTTCCTCCCTAAGATCTTTCCTCCCCCCTTTCCCTGCTGAGATCCCTTTCCCCCTTTCCCCCCTAAGGCCTTTCCCCCCCCTGAGAGCTTCTCCCTTTTCCTTCCGAAGATCTTTTCCCCCCTTTCCCTGTTAGGCTTTCCCCCCTAAGTCCTTTTCTCCCAGATCGTCTCCCTTTCCTCCCTAAGATCTTCCCCCCCCTTTCCTTCCTAAGATTGTTTCCCCCTTTCCCTGTTGAGATCCTTCCCACCCTTTCCCCCTGAGGCCTTTCCCCCCTGAGAGCTTCTCCTTCCTTAGATCTTTCCCCCCTGTCCCTGTTGGCCTTTTTTCCCCCAGATCTTCTCCCTTTCCTCCCTAAGATCTTTTCCACCCCTTTCCCTGTTGAGATCATTTCTCCCCTTTCCCCCCTAAGGCCTTTGCCCCCAGATCTTCTCCCTTTCCTCCCTAAGATCTTTCCCCCCCTTTCCCTGCTCAGATCCTTTCCCCCCTTTCCCCCCTAAGGCCTTTCCCCCCCTGAGATCTTCTCCCTTTTCCTCCCGAAGATCTTTTGCCATTTTTCCCTGTTGAGGTCCATTCCCCCTTTCCCCCCTAAGGCCCTTTCTCCCTCTGAGTTTTTCCCTGTTCCTCCCTACGATGTTTTTCCCCCTCCCCCTGTTGAGATCCTTTCCCTCCTTTTTCCCTGAGGCCTTTTTTCCCCCCGCGATCTTCCCCCTTTTCCTTCCTAAGATCTTTTCCCCCCTTTCCTTGTTGAGATCCTTTCACGCCCTTTCCCCCCTAAGGCATTTTCTCCCCAAGATCTTCTCCCTTTTCCTCCCTAAGATCCTTTGCCCCCTTTCCCTGTTGAGATCCTTTCCCCCCTTTCCCCCCTAAGGCCTTTCCCCCCCTGAGATCTTCTCCCTTGTCCTCCCCAAGATCTTTTCCCTTGGTTGAGATCCTTTCCCCCTTTCCCCCCAAGATCTTCTCCCTTTTCCTCCCTAGGATCCTCTCCCACCTTTCCCTGTTGAGCTCCTTTCCCCCTTTTCCCCCTAAGGCCTTTTCAGATCTTCTCCCTTTTCCTCCCGAAGATCCTTTGCCCCCTTTCCCTGTTGAGATCATTTCTCCCCTTTCCCCCCTATGGCCTTTGCCCCCAGATCTTCTCCTCCCTAAGATCTTTCCCCCCCTTTCCCTGCTCAGATCCTTTCCCCCCCTTTCCCCCCTAAGGCCTTTCCCCCCCTGAGATCTTTCCCTCCTTTCCCCCCTAAGGCCTTTTTTCCCCCCGCGATCTTCCCCCTTTTCCTTCCTAAGATCTTTTCCCCCCTTTCCTTGTTGAGATCCTTTCCCGCCCTTTCCCCCCTAAGGCGTTTTCCCCCCCAAGATCTTCTCCCTTTTCCTTTCTAAGATCCTTTGCCCCCTTTCCCTGTTGAGGTCCTTTCCCCTCTTTCCCCCCTAAGGCCTTTCCACCCCTGAGATCTTCTCCCTTGTCCTCCCCAAGATCTTTTCTCTTGGTTGAGATCCTTTCCCCCTTTCCCCCCAAGATCTTCTCCCTTTTCCTCTTTAGGATCCTCTCCCACCTTTCCCTGTTGAGCTCCTTTCCCCCTTTTCCCCCTAAGGCCTTTTCAGATCTTCTCCCTTTTCCTCCCGAAGATCCTTTGCCCCCTTTCCCTGTTGAGATCCTTTCCCCCTTTCCCCCCTAAGGCCTTTTCCCTGCCTGGGATCTTCTCCCTTTCCTCACTGAGATCTTTCCCCCCCTTTCCCTGTTGAGATCCTTTCCCCCTTTCCCCCCTAGGCCTTTCCCCCCGCTGAGATCTTCTCCCTACTCCTCCTTAAGATCCTTTGCCTCCTTTCCCCGTTGAGATCCTTTCCCTTCTTCCCTTTAAGGCCTTTCCAGATCTTTTCCCTTTTCCTTCCTAAGATTGTGTCCCCCCTTTCCCTGTTGAGATCCTTCCCACCCTTTCCCGCCTAAGGCCTTTCCCCCCTGAGAGCTTCTCCCTTTTCCTTCCTTAGATCTTTCCCCCCTTTCCCTGTTGGCCTTTGTTCCCCCAGATCTTCTCCCTTTCCTCCCTAAGATCTTTTCCACCCCTTCCCTGTTGAGATCATTTCTCCCCTTTCCCCTCTAAGGCCTTTGTCCCCAGATCTTCTCCCTTTCCTCCCTAAGATCTTTCCCCCCCCCCCTTTCCCTGCTGAGATCCCTTTCCCCCTTTCCCCCCTAAGGCCTTTCCCCCCCCTGAGAGCTTCTCCCTTTTCCTTCCGAAGATCTTGTCCCCCCTTTCCCTGTTAGGCTTTCCCCCCTAAGTCCTTTTCTCCCAGATCGTCTCCCTTTCCTCCCTAAGATCTTCCCCCCCTTTCCTCCTTAAGATCTTTCCCACCCTTTCCCTGTTGAGATCCTTCCCACCCTTTCCCCCTGAGGCCTTCCCCCCCCGGAGAGCTTCTCCTTCCTTAGATCTTTCCCCCCTCTTTTTTCCCCCAGATCTTCTCCCTTTCCTCCCTAAGATCTTTTCCACCCCTTTCCCTGTTGAGATCATTTCTCCCCTTTCCCCCCTAAGGCCTTTGCCCCCAGATCTTCTCCCTTTCCTCCCTAAGATCTTCCCCCCCCCTTTCCCTGCTCAGATCCTTTCCCCCCTTTCCCCCCTAAGGCCTTTCCCCCCCTGAGATCTTCTCCCTTTTCCTCCCTAAGATCTTTTGCCACCTTTCCCTGTTGAGATCCATTCCCCCTTTCCCCCCTAAGGCCCTTTCTCCCTCTGAGTTTTTCCCTTTTCCTCCCTACGATGTTTTCCCCCCTCTCCCTGTTGAGATCCTTTCCCTCCTTTCCCCCCTAAGGCCTTTTTTCCCCCCGCGATCTTCCCCCTTTTCCTTCCTAAGATCTTTTCCCCCCTTTCCTTGTTGACATCCTTTCCCGCCCTTTCCCCCCTAAGGCGTTTTCCCCCCCAAGATCTTCTCCTTTTTCCTCCCTAAGATCCTTTGCCCCCCTTCCCTGTTGAGATCCTTTCCCCCCTTTCCCCCCTAAGGCCTTCCCCCCCCTGAGATCTTCTCCTGTCCTCCCCAAGATCTTTTCCCCCGAGATCTTCTCCCTTTTCCTCCCTAGGATCTTCTCCCACCTTTCCCTGTTGAGCTCCTTTCCCCCTTTTCCCCCTAAGGCCTTTTCAGATCTTCTCCCTTTTCCTCCCGAAGATCCTTTGCCCCCTTTCCCTGTTGAGATCCTTTCCCCCTTTCCCCCCTAAGGCCTTTTCCCCACCTGGGATCTTCTCCCTTTCCTCATTGAGATCCTTTCCTTGTTGAGATCCTTTCCCTCCTAAGGCCTTTCCCCTCGCTGAGATCTTCTCCCTACTCCTCCTTAAGATCCTTTGCCCCCTTTCCCCGTTGAGATCCTTTCCCTTCTTCCCTTTAAGGCCTTTCCAGATCTTTTCCGTTTTCCTTCCTAAGATTGTTCCCCCCTTTTCCCTGTTGAGATCCTTCCCACCCTTTCCCGCCTAAGGCCTTTCCCCCCTGAGAGCTTCTCCCTTTTCCTTCCTTAGATCTTTCCCCCCTTTCCCTGTTGGCCTTTTTTCCCCCAGATCTTCTCCCTTTCCTCCCTAAGATCTTTTCCACCCCTTCCCTGTTGAGATCATTTCTCCCCTTTCCCCTCTAAGGCCTTTGTCCCCAGATCTTCTCCCTTTCCTCCCTAAGATTTCCCCCCCTTTCCCTGCTGAGATCCTTTTCCCCCTTTCCCCCCTTGGCCTCTCCCCCCCTTGAGAGCTTCTCTCTTTTCCTTCCTAAATCTTTTCCCCCCTTTCCCTGTTGGGCTTTCCCCCCTAAGTCCTTTTCTCCCAGATCTTCTCCCTTTCCTCCCTAAGATCTTCCCCCCCCCCTTTCCTCCCTAAGATCTTTCGCACCCTTTCTCTGTTGAGATCCTTTCCCCCTTTCCCTCCCAAGGCCTTTCCCCCCCTGACAGCTTCTCGCTTTTCCTTCCTAAGATCTTTTCCCCCCTTTCCCTGTTGGCCTTTTTTCCCCAGATCTTCTCCCTTTCCTCCCTAAGATCTTTTCCACCCCTTTCCCTGTTGAGATCATTTCTCCCCTTTCCCCCCTAAGGCCTTTTTGCCCCAGATCTTCTGCCTTTCCTCCCTAAGATCTTTCCCCCCCCCAGTTCCTTGTTGAGATCATTTATTTCCCCTTCCTTCTAAGGCCTTTTCCCACCCTCAGTTCTTCTCCCTTTTCCTCCCAAAGATCTTTCCCCCCCTTTCCTCCCTAAGTCCTTTTCCCTGAGTTCGTCTCCCTTTGCCTCCCTAAGATCTTTTCCCCCCTTTCCCACTTAAGATCCTTTCCCCCGTTTCCCCCCTAAGGCCTTTTCCCCCCAAGATCTCCACCCTTCTCTTCCCAAAGTCTTTTTCCCCCTTTCCCGATTGAGATCCTGTCCCCCGATTGCCCCTTAGGGCCTGTTCCCCCCGAGAAAGATTTCCCTTTTCCTCCCAAAGATCTTTTCCCCCCTTTCCCCCTTAAGGCATTTTTTCCCCAGATCTTCTCCCTTTCCTCCCTGAGATCTTTCCCCCCTTTCGCTGTTGAGATCCTTTCCCCCTTTCCCCCCTTCATTTCCTTCACCAGCATGGGCAACATCCCCAGCATCACTTGCATCATCCGCATCCTTCGCAGGCGCTGATGCGGATGATGCAGGTGATGCTGGCGATGTGCCGCTGGAGCTGCCAAGGATGCGAAAGCGCACCCGGGGGGAAAGCCCGCACAATGAACAGATTTAGTGAAGCGTCTTCGAATCACCGCGTGGTACGTGGACCCCGCCCCCCTGAAATGGTGCCCCTGGGGAGGGGTTCGGGGAGGGGTAACAGGTAAAGAGGTAAGGAGCATTTTTTGTGTCCAACACGCCGTCTGTTGTCGGCGGATTTAAGCTTCTCTACAGAACCTGATCATGAAGAAAATGAAACTAAAACCCAGCCTGTTGCATACTTGCATTTCAGCTTGCATGCTGCACTTGGCCGAGGTGATCGTAGGCTTCGGAGTGTATGAGCACATGGCACAGTGGTCCTACCTGATCGTATGTGGAGGTCTTGCTGCCCCTTTACTGCTACAGCCAGTGGTTTGCCCATGGCTCACAAAAGAGGAAAATCTGGCTCTCCAGGAACGGCCACTCGGCAGCGATACTACTTGTGTGTGCGCGTGTGTTTGTGTTTGTGTTTAGCGTTTGATCAGGTCAGCGTGAGTCGAGGCTCTGGGAAGGATGGCCAGCTGTTGAGGATGTGCATTGACTGTGTGAATATCATGGCATGGAAATTGCAAATGTGTGGCATTTGCACTGTGGCCAGCAAGCAATGAATCAAAACGGCTGGCAAAAGTAGTGCCAATTAGGATGGCTGATGCTGATTGTTTCAAAGACTAAGCGGTGGGATAGGGCTGCTTCACATGTCAAGATGGTATTCGTCAGGCTGGGCCGGGCAACAGGTCTTGACTTGTGGCGCACATAGCATGAGGTACTGCACAAAAGCCAACCTTTGGATCGCTATCTACTCCTTCCTGGGCCGCTTTGGCTAAGGCGCAAGGAGTCAAGAGGCTGGGGGGAAGCAACTTCTGTTCAACAGTTCAGTGATTTGGGTTACACTTTAAGCAAAGTTGGGTGCTCGAGTGCCACTCACAGGAGGGTGCTTGCCAGCAGTCATGCTTGTCATGGCAATGTGTGCATGTTTAGGAAATAATGTTTGTTAAGACTCCGCCTCCGTACAATAATTGCTTTAATGCTCGTCCCAAAAGAGCACCTGGAAAATTGCGCATGCCAATGTGACAGAGCCCTCCATGTGAGCAACGCGCATGATGAAGGTAATTATTGGGGCACGCACTACTTCTACTGCGTCCTCAAAGCGACGCCGGATTGAACATGTTAGATTCGGAACAGTTGCGCTGATGGCCAGAGGAGCTGTTGATTTGATTTGTGCTATTTCCTTCTGATTTTCAACAACATAGGTATGTCGCAAAAGGGGGAAGGAGCCTCCCTTCTATGGCTGCAACGTGATAAGGTGCCGTCGAGACCCAGCTGTAGATGGTCTGTTCAGTTGGGTTCCCGAGGGATGTGTAGGCCAGGAGTTGGGCTGGCAGCCAAAGAAAACATGTCGGGCTCTTCGTGCACGAACCCTGGGATGTGATTTCAAGTGCAACCAAAAGCTGATCATCTTGCAGCAGCAGGGTCAGTTGCAGAAATTGAAAGCAAACTGGAGTTCTTGTATGTGCGTGTTTGGTTGAAAGTTTTTAGCGCCCCGACCATTTGTCACCAATCAATTTTACAACCAAGACTACTGAATCCGCATGACTTCCCAAGATCGCATTCAAGTTGTCGAATGACTTCCTCGCTGAGGAAGTACACGCTGCCTTTCCTGCCAGCACACCAACTGAATGGAGTGCCCATTTGCATGCCCCTTGGATGACCTGTTCGGTGTATGGGCAAAGGCGGCATGCGGTCAAACAACAACTGAAACTGGTTGCTTGCTGCTTTCACTGTGAAGCGGGTGTGGGCATGTTTCCCGCAAGACAGGTACTTGGCGACTCACTTCTACTTCAGTGCCCTGGTTGCCCTTTGCGGGCTTGGCAGTTTTTGGGCATGGGACATATCGTGTTTGGGGCAGGGAGCTGCGCAGAGAGCGTGGAATCTGCAAGTGACTTGCTACACGACAACGTCCGAAAGCCCATGAGGAAGCTTTTGTTTCTTGAGCAATTCCTTATTTGGATTGCTTTGGACCCAAAACTGGAGAACCGAGGCTTCTACCATGCCCTCGGCAACAAAGTGCTTCGCTGGGTATCAACAAGCTTCCAGCCTGGAACGCTCCGGATAATTTTCACAGTCTTGGTGGCACCTTGGCTGGATGAGCTTTCGCTGGGAAAGCCTGGAAAACCGAAGTGGCTTCGACCTAGATCTAATCATTGGAACCCTATTCAGCGGGATGAAAAAGGCCTGCCTCAAGCCGTTTTCCTTGGACCATGGGCAACGCCTGAGCACTCTGCTCCAGATACAAGAGCGATCATCCTTGGAGGTATGCTGTATGTCGTATGTCGTTGCCTTCCTGGAGACGTTCTCTATCTCCGCGTTTCCGTATTACTCGTTTGAGGACAGAGCTCAGATGTACACCATCGGCTGCTTGGCTGGACACACTCCCATCAAGATACTGTCGATTCCCTCGAGATTGCGAGTAAACCGCAGACACAACCTGATAGATGACCGGGGAAGCCGTGACAGTGAGGGAACAATGTCCGGGGCCGTACAATTACAATCCCTGCATCCTGCTGATACAAATAGTTGTCCTTGGAGCAAGGCCATTTAGAGCGCGTTGTGTTTGCAACAGGATCTCCTGGTCGCTGGCCCAGCCAGAACCGCACAGCTAAGGCTCGGCCTTTTACGCCATCTATTTGGTAGTCTCCCTGCCGCTCTTCATGCGAATGGATGAGACGCCAGGCACGAGCGCGCTGACCAAGTGTGTGAAGCGAGTGGTGGTGTGTGTGTGTGTGTGTGTGTGTGTGTGTGTGTGTGTGTGTGTGTGTGTGTGTGTGTGTGTGTGTGTGTGTGTGTGTGTGTGTGTGTGTGTGTGTGTGTGTGTGTGTGTGTGTGTGTGTGTGTGTGTGTGTGTGTGTGTGTGTGGTGTGTGTGGTGTGTGTGTGTGTGTGTGGTGTGTGTGTGTGTGTGTGTGTGTGTGTGTGTGTGTGTGTGTGTGTGTGTGTGTGTGTGTGTGTGTGTGTGTGTGTGTGTGGTGTGTGTGTGTGTGGTGTGTGTGGTGTGTGTGGTGTGTGTGGTGTGTGTGGTGTGTGTGTCTGTGTGGTGTGTGTGTGTGTGTGTGTGTGTGTGTGTGTGTGTGTGTGTGTTGTGTGTGTTGTGTGTGTTGTGTGTGTTGTGTGTGTTGTGTGTGTTGTGTGTGTTGTGTGTGTTGTGTGTGTTGTGTGTGTTGTGTGTGTTGTGTGTGTGTGTGTGTGTGTGTGTGTGTGTGTGTGTGTGTGTTGTGTGTGTTGTGTGTGTTGTGTGTGGTGTGTGTGGTGTGTGTGGTGTGTGTGGTGTGTGTGGTGTGTGTGGTGTGTGTGGTGTGTGTGGTGTGTGGTGTGTGTGTGGTGTGTGTGTGTGGTGTGTGTGGTGTGTGTGGTGTGTGTGTGGTGTGTGTGGTGTGTGTGGTGTGTGTGGTGTGTGTGGTGTGTGTGGTGTGTGTGGTGTGTGTGTGTGTGGGGTGTGTGGGGTGTGTGGGGTGTGTGGGGTGTGTGGGGTGTGTGGGGTGTGTGGGGTGTGTGGTGTGTGGTGTGTGGTGTGTGGTGTGTGGTGTGTGGTGTGTGGTGTGTGGTGTGTGTGTGTGTGGGCGCGCGCGCGCGTGTGTGTGTGTTTCTCACGCAACCTGATATGATGGTCACATGTTGAGCCTGTGAGTTCAGGACTATTCCCTACATTTTCGAGGTGCTTGCAATCTAGTTGGATCATATTGGATCAGCAGGCGTAAATGTGCACAGTCCTTGAGATGTAACAAGGTCTCGGCTACAACGCTCAAACTGGTGACACCCCCCTGCGGCTTTTAGAGAAGGGAATCAGCAGCGATTTAAATTCGAAATCAACCTACATCATTGGAACGCAAATTCCCATTTCTTCTCTTCAAACAGGGCACCCCTCAATAAAAGTGGCGTTTTGTTGTGATTTTCGGTTTTTAGCTCCAAGGAGATCCTTATGTTTTAAGCCGCACCCGGTTTTGGTCCCGTTTTTTGTCGACCGCCGAGTGGGAGTTCTCGCTAGGCGGGCACAGCCTGGCGCAGGCGGCCTTGGAGGCCTGCGGCGCCTGGGCGCTGATCCTTTGCCTCCTGGACTTCGCGCCTCGGGCCTCCGACTCACAGTGGGCGGGGGGGTGCCACGGGCGCGTGGTTTGAGTCACAGCATGTCACCACATGTCACCACCAAACACCCGGAGAATTGGAGGGTCAGGAGACTATCCCAGAAATGGGTGCGGCCGTCTTTTCGATTCTTCACATGGGTCCGGGTGGGCCATGTGAATACACGATTTTGGTTATGACACACCTAGAGTCTATTTTGCAAACTCAAACCAAACAACACTTAAGAAAGTAGTGGTTGCGACATCCATCCTAAGTGTCCACCATACGGAGAAGAGCAATGTACTAAGAACAGAGGGGTTAAAGCGAACTTGTGAGTGTTTGAGAGCCTTTCAATCTAGTCTATGGAGTTGTCCTGATTTATTTGACCATCCACAACCCTATGTGCAGGTGTATACCCATGTGTGTTTCCTAGCCATGGGAATTACGTAACCTATGGATGTGGCCTCATCATAATATGATGAAGCCATAGGCATGTGTTTCCTATGCATCGCATATTTTGCTGGCTAGACAACTCCTGAGGATTCCCGAGTCGATGGGATACGGACCCGTATTCACGCCTACAGGAAGCAGCTACATGGTGTCCTCAACTTTGTGACTATATATATCAAAGAAATATACATATATATATATATATGTGTACCAGGGTAATCCAGATTCCAAGAGAGGGAAAAGGGCCCTACGTGAGTATGAGAGGTGAAAACAGCGCTGCGCCAGGTGCGATTGATCCTCGGCGTGGAGCTGCGAATGGCATAGGCAAAAAAGCGAACTGATTTGCGGAGCATGGTTTGCAGCAGAGTCTCGAGGCCCGGGAAGGGCAAAGTGGATATGGGTATGTGTCAACATTGAGGGGGACGAAAGAAATGCGGTTTCCTTCAGATTCCCTGAACGCGAACCTGAATTTGGTACTCTCAAAAGAAACAAACCCATTTGCTTTCGGAGTCTCGCGACCTTGCAACACTCCAGGGCTGCCCCAACGATTTCTTGTTGATAGACTCTATCTGATAGAGGAGCCTCAAGCAGGGGTGTTTGCCAAGGTTCGTTGGCTTCGGCACGGTCGGGCGAGGCCTGCATTGGCAACGACATGCCGTCCAGTGACCTCCCTTGTCTTCATATGGATACTTTTTGCACAGGTGACCCTGAAACTGGCAGGTTTCCTTTCGGCCTTTTAACACCCAACGGGATCCCCAACTTGCGGACAGGCGCGAGAGCACCTCATCAGCAGGGGTGCTCAGCAAGCGGCGGTCATCACCCGTCACCCAGGATGGTTCAGAGTTGCTTGCTGTCAGTTGCTTGCTAGTAAGAGACGGAATGATGTGTATATATATATGTATGAAGAAGCGAGAAACGGCAGAAAGAAAGTTAAGAAAGAAGAAAGAAAGGAAGGAAGAAAATAAATAAGGATCGAGAAACAAAACAAGGACATAAAGAAGGGAAAGGAAGGAATAACATCATGAAATAAGGAAGGAATGATGACATCAAAGAAATAACGAAGCAAGGAAGGAAAGAAACAGAAAGAAGAAAGGAGAGACAAGCAAAGAAAGCCCGATGAGTGCACGTCTTCATTTTGAGGCAGATTTGCCTCCTGAGACGGAGTGTTGACAGGTGCTCGCCGCGTGTGTTGGCAGCATCACAACAAGTAGGCTTTGTCAGTGCCATCTAAAAACATATGGTAGCTTGGTCTCCCAATCGCAGAGTGCCAGCATAGTCCCATGCTTTCCTTTCAGATGTTCAAGCAGGAGCTTCATGTCGGGCGGGGGGGGGCCGAAGCCGCACCATGTGCAAAAGAAGACTACCCTTCTCGACCTTGTGCGAAAGAACCTCAGCTTTCGGAGGTTTGACAGACTGGCTACAGTGCAGCCGCGTGCTACGACAGTTCTTGCTGCGCTTCAGCGATCCATTGTGGGTGCGGGACTCAGGGCCATCTCGGTGCACGCAAGCAGACCCTCCCGTTTTAAGGGAAGGATTAACCACATTGAGCTAAAACAGCAATATTGTGACCATGTTTTGCACAATGAGGTGACTCTGCCACTGGCTATCGATGGGAATGTGTCAAATGTAGCATCACACTCACCAAAGTGATACAGTGGGGTGGACAGTTGTTCGATTGTACAACTGAGCTTTGCGGAAAGAGCTCGCAAGTTATGTCCGTCATGGCTGCCAGAATGCCCCCAGCATTTTGCCTGCGTCCGCACGCACAACTGTGTGCTCAGGCGTTGAAGCTGTTTGGTATGCATTGACCAACTGATGTGTTGTGTTTGTGCCAATAGATGCACTTGCAGTGCGCAGTGCGCTGCCTGTGTTCGGGGAACAATCAGGTCCGGATCAGTGCTCGTTAAGTAGGAAGAGGGTGCTCAGCTGCAAGTAAACCGCCTAGACGTGGGCAGCGGCAGATATGCGCGAAGATGGAGCACGCAAATCGCATCGCAAAGACTCCTCCAAACGGTCTTACAAGCAGTTTGGGCGCAACAGGCCTTGTCAAGCTCAAAAGAGAAAACTCCGCGGGAGGCCTTGTGGAGAGGGGGCAGAGTGACACGCGCACTTGCGGTTCAGCAGCACCAAAGCAGTTACCGGGTGGCCTGGGAAGAGCTGCGTGCGCAAGTCAGCGTTTGTCTCAAAATGGGGGAATCCCACAAAATAAGCGGCTTCCTTTTGGTTTCTTATCAAGCCAACCCGAAAAGAAGCTCCTCACAACGAGAGACACCAGGTGGATATCGCCAAGAACCTGTGCACTTTGGGGGTGCTGTCTTTGCAGCAGCTTTCACCAGAGACAACCTGGCCGGAGTCTTGGCACCATGTCCCCCAATTCCTGTTCCGAATTCTCCCAGGTCTAATGAAACTGACTAACCA